TCTGTGGGAGGCTAAATCAGGAGGATACTGGACTGAGTCTGCCTGGACAACGACAAAGACCCTGTGTCTTTGAGGAAAAAAAAATCAATTTAAGATCACAGTGAACCAAACTTCCCTGCCCAGTGTTACACACTGCACCAGGATTTTGATCTGCATTCGAATTTCAAATTCAATAAACCTGTGTTCATGTAGAAAGAGTTCTTTCCCTTTATCTCCATAATTCTCAGGAGAAGGAAAATAAAAGGACAGTAGAGAACAAGGCTTTTATTGTAAGAATAATTCATATTCATGTTGAAAGACTTTGAACAAGCAGAGTCTGATCTCGATAGTGCATTTAACACAGGAAGTGGACCAGAATCTCCCTTCATACCAGTGGGACTGAAATAGGTGAGGGCTGACTAAATGCTGCTTTGGAAATAATTGTGAGAGCTCTTTTTCAGTGAAAAATATACTGCCATTTTTGCTCAATATACACGTACGTTCCGAAGCTCTTCCCAGCATTATCAAACCTGAGATGAGTTTGTTTAAGATGGAACCTGAAGAAAGTGTGTTTCAAGTTTGCTTAATGATTTCATCACCATTCCCCCAACTCAAAAATATATTCCTTTAGCAGCTCAGGAAAATTATAAAAAAATATTGTTGGCTTTGATGATAACACAAAGAATAGAGTTTAATTGTTCATTTTATAATTTTTATTATTAAACTATGCTTAGTTTTTTGTATTTAAATTTAGTTTATGTTATGCAGGGTTTAGTTTATTTTTAAAATGACATGATTTTAATCTTACTTGTCAATTAATACTAAATGATTGTGTTTAATACTTATATTTTTGTAAATTTACATTTTTTTCTTTGTAAGTTTTTGTGTTTGAGATATTTTAAATGTTTGGTTCACTAATTTGTGTTTTTATGAATTCTTAACACTCTTAAATGAAATATTAATATTACTATGCAAAGTAAACCCTTTCATTTTGCTCCAGTATTCACTTTGATAGATGTCTAAGTTATTTAAAATGAGACCTAAAAGAAGAAAAGACATAGTCAAATATAGAGGAGTTGTGAAAGAGAGCTTTAGTAATAGTTTTTGAGATAACAAAAGGCAGAGCAAGTTGGAACAACAAAGAGAATTGCAATATAGTGGGTTCTCAGAGTTTAGAAGGGTCAGAGAAAGGTCTTAGTGAGGCTGGAGTGACAGACTGGTGAGAGATTGTGAGGACCTCTGGGGAGCCATGAAAAGTATCCAAGAACCTTTGGGAAACCATAGAAAGATGTTAGGCTTACTAATGGGTGGTTAGATTTGCACTTTAGAAGGATCTTCTGGCTGCTGTATAAAAGCAAAATTGGATAATAGCAAATCAGTTGTAAGACTGGTACAAACACTCAGGCAAGTGATCACTCGGATTATTTGGTAGCAGTGAGATGGAGAAAAAGCAGATGGAGCTGAGAGACATTTAGGAAGAATTCACAGCGCACGGCAGTAGGCCTGGCATGAACATCTGGGACTGCAGGGAGAGCTGTAGGTTTATGTGGAATGGCGATGGGCTCGCTTTTGAAGATGTCCTTGGGACAGACAGTTCCACTAGGTAGATATGATGATCTAAGTCTTTGAAAAGCTGGGCGAGTGGACACACGTAGCCTTTTGAGAGTGGTCAACATTGATATGGCATTGAAGTCCTGAATGTGGAATGTGGATATATATTTTCAAATAGGGAAGAAGAAAGTAAACTGAACAAAAACAACCAGAGAGGTAGAAGGAAAATCAGAAAAAAATGATTTCATAGACACCAGGAAGCAAGAGTGTTTCTAGGTGAAAAAAAAAAAATGATATGGTCAACTCTGCTAGAGGTTATGGAGAGTTTGAGCATGATCAAGACTGACAGTACCATTCATCTCACTTGAAGCCATTGGTGGTTGGCACAATGTAAGTCAGATGATGATAATTCTCAAGTGAGGGGTGAGGTGGCTATTTCAAGATGTTTCCTGTGGAAGAAAGGAAAGATTAGTACTCGTCTAGTTTTAAGAGATGGTAAAGAATAGAGAATCAGTGTATGTTTAAAGACAAGGAAACTTGAGCCTGATTGAATTATGGAATGAGCAAGTAGAAAGGGAGAAGTTGAGGACAGAGAAGCTGATCAAGGCATTGGTATTCCCTAGGAGGGTGGAATTGGTGGAGGCCAGGATATAAAAGGAGATTAGGGCTTGTATAGGGAAAGAACTTGAGGGTCTGGATGCAGGTAAGCTTGTGTGTATAATGGTGGAAAATGAGGCAGTTTTCTCTTAAGTGGCTTATTTACAGTCTTTGTGGTGTAGATAGCATAGTCATTTGTAGAATTGAGGGGAATGTGGAAGAGAAAGGTTGAAGGAGAATAGAGAATGTCAGTGGAACAATTGGCAATATCTGCTCTGGAGGAGTGGAGAGAGAGCTGACTATGGAGCTTGAGGACCAGAACAAGCTGAGGGTTATTCATAATGAATTGATTGACAGCAGTGCTGTATCTTTTGCGAGTTTCTCCAACAGCAGAGAACATCCATTCCACCTGCCTTTCTTAAGGTGTATGGGATGTATTTGAGGAATTCCTAGAGAGTTAGGTTTTGGTTAAGTCCATGCAGTGCAAGGAATGGAATACAGTATAATGAATGTGACTCCTGCTCATTCTGGCTGCATCTGTTACTGTTCTGTGCTGCAGCATTAAAATATCCTTGGAAGTTATTGAAGCATGTTAAGTTCTTTGCTCCTTCAGTAAATGCCCCCAGACTGCTGTCTTGTTTTCCTTTAAGTTCTTGTCCGCTTTTTTATACTATTTCTGTCTCCTCCCTTTCTGTTTTCTTCCTTGTTGTCAGTTGTTCTATCACATTGCTGTCTGCATGCAAGTCTGTATCAGCCCTTCACGCTGGACTTTGTCAACATCTGGAATTATCACATCTCTGAAATAAACCTGTGGGCTTGAAGACCAGACAAGCAAGCTTATTAGAATTGTATGCAAAGTAAGAGTAAATACCCCCTGAGTGTGATTCTCACGTGCTGTGCATTGAGGGTGTACATGAGTGTTTGTACATGAACCTTGTGACATCTATTGGGTCGTTTCTCAGTTGTCCATATATGAGATGTTTGTTGCCTGTATTCCCATTGTGTTTTTCTTATTTTGAATTTCCATGGATTATGATCATTTTCATAGAGAATCCTATCAATATTTATGATTACTACTTTTGTGATCAGGCTTCAGTATTTACAAAGTATTTTCATATGCATTACCTAAATTTTAAAACTACATAATTAGGTTCTTGGTGCTATTATTTCTTACTATTCTCATGGATTTTCAAATACTTTTTGTATGGAAATAACATGTATTTTCATATATATATGTATATATGTATATGTATGTATTATATTTATATATATGTATATATATGCACATTTGTGTATGAGAATAACATATCATGTCACAGCTTGGTCATTTAACCATGTTACATGTAAATGAAATAGAACATTGTAAAGTGAGTATTTAGGAGGTTTTTGAAAAATAAGTATGTACTCTAGCTTTTCATTTATTTCTGTGTTATATGGACTTCCTCATCTGTGAACATCTCATGTACGTATCAATAGTTTAAGTTTTTTAAAGTATATATGTCGATAATTAGATACAGAGCGAATACCACTTTTTGTCTGATCGCAGCCTTTCTTGTCAGGAGGAAGGTAAATTCAGTAGCAGTCATTTGGAACCTTCCCCTACTCCTTTGGGTGGTACTGAGGTTCATGTCCTTGCACAGTAACATTGAGGAGAGCCCCTGAGTCTTCAGTCACCCGCTGCACTGGTTCCCCAGGAGGTGCCTGTTCTCCCAGCCCACACAAGCTCCCTAAGTTCCATGGTTTTGCTGGGTGCCTTTTGTGCCGACCTGCCTTCCTGGAGCACTTGGAAAATCTCTCTCTGGGCTCCTGCTCTATCCTGTTCTCTGGGACATGGGCCACCTGGGAGCAGAGTGCTGCTCTGTGACTCATCGACATGCCTCTTTCCTCTCTTCAATCCAGGGAAATCTTTCTTTCTTAAATTTGGCCAGAGGGCACGTGCTCTCACCAGAGATAGACAGAGAGGGAGGCAGGGTGTGGTCACGCCATAATCCCTTCTCTCCATTTCTCTATCCTTTTGGAATCTGGGGCACTCATGTATCTGGTGGATTTTTTAAACCTCCATGCCCAGCATTCAAATTACATGGTTGGTGTGTAGTATCTGGCTTCCTTAATCATCAGGCCACTGAGCCAGCCCAGGGAAAGCTTTTTAATCTGAGGAAGACTCCTCTCTTCAAACTCTATCTTCTCTCTTTCTCTCCATATATATTTTTTTCCTTTTTTTTTTTCTGAACAAAAGGTGGAAAGCCCTGACAGAAGTCTTTCCTTAGGCAAAAAAGCACATGTAATGCTTTTAAATGGTGGAATAAAGGGAGAAAATACAAAATTCTTTTAAAAAATAGTGGAGGGACCAGCAGTTAGCATAATGGCTATGTCGCTGGACTCCCATGTAGTCAACCATGGTTCGAGTCCAGGACCCAGTGGCTTAAACTCACTCTGGGTGTGTGTATGTGTGTGCCCAAGATCCTGGGAGGTGAAAGGAGGAAAAGGGATTAGCAGCGTGGCCATCACCCCTGGGGGGTGATTTCTCGCTTCCTGTCTCTATGTCTCTCTCTGTCTTTTTGGCGAGCGCATGCGCCCTATAGCAAAAAACCTCTCAAAAAAAAAGAAAAAGAAAGAAAAAAATAGTGGAGTACTAAAGTGTAGAGTAATAAAAAACTTAATACGCCACCTCTGTTTAGTGTTCTCTCCTCTGGAACTAAATCTGTTTAGCCAAGTCTTTGTTTTGATAACTCCTTGAAGACTATTAGTATTTGTTTAATGTTTACATATTATTAATGTAATTTCTGAGTAGTAATCTTAAATGTTGAGAAGAATATAATCTTTATAAGTGTTAAGTAAATTTTCTAACTTAGTTTCGTCTTATTTTACCTAAGAACACTGGAACTATTTTGGGGCTGATGAGAATCTTGGTCCAGTGGCTGTGAGCATTCGAAGGGAAAAACCAGAAGAAATGAAAGAAAATGGATCTCCATACAACTACCGTATAATCTTCAGAACAAGTGAGGTAAGTTGCAAATGAGAGAGGCTTGAGGCATCACTGAAGTGGGAGAAAAATAGAGTAGCAGTAGCAAAGCAATTAAATTCAATAGCACTTGTTTGCAGATGGCTTTGGAATGAACAAAGACTCATTCATTCTGTGGTGATGGAGGTGGATGAAATAGACCGGGATCCCTTCTTTTCATCTAGGTCTGGATAAATGAAATAAATGAATGAGAGTTTAGATTCAGAGAATGATTATGGCCATTAACTTTGACCCAAGGAAATCGGAGCCCTCAGAATCCCAAATAGGATATTTCCTGTCCTGTTTGGGGCAGGGAGGAAAACACCAAGTCTCTCAAGGAATCGGGGCATGTTTGGGTAAGGCCACAGAAGACATATGCAGGTTTCCCAGCTTTTACGTGGGTCATTTCTTTTTAAATTTTGCCAGAGGGCATGCATACTCACTGAAGAGAGATGGGAAGCAGGGGGGAGTGAAGAAGCACCCTCCATGGGGAATGGTCAATACCATAATCCTCTCTCCTCCATTTCTTCCTCCTTTTGAGATTTTGGACATTCACACACTCAGACCTAGCATATTTATCAGGTCCAGGATGTGAACTGCACTGCTGGCTTGTGGGGTCCAGCTGCCTTAACCTCCACACCATGGACTGGCCCACTTTAGGTCATTTCTTGACCGTAGAAGAGGGGAAAAGACTCTTAAAAGGGAAAAAGGAAGTAGCCAACAGGGAGATAGCATGTGGTGTGGTGGGTAAGGTGTTGGACTCCCATGTGGCTGACCGCAGTTCGAGTCCTGGACCTGGCCAGTTGCTTTCTTTCTCTCTCTCTCTCTCTTCCCCACCCCCATATGCTCTGGTGAACACATATGCTCCGTAGCAAATTAAAAAATAAGAGTAATGATAAATAAAATTAAATAAGTAATTATTTAAAAAAAATAAAATAGCCAACAAAGCATTTTTTTTCTAGAACTGTGAACAGGTTTGGGACTATGAGGTTATTCTTTGTTTTCTTTCTAAACATATATAATTATTGCAGTTTTCAATTAGTGCCTCTTGGTTTCTAATTCACTCTAGGATTCTTGTTGTGCATTAATGCCTAATCATCTCTTAAGGCATCTAGAAAATAATGGCTTGAAAGTAGTTTAAATAGGGCAGTTGGCTTCTTTCCCTCATTGAATGCAAAGCAAGTTTTAGGGATTGGCTTCACTTAGTAATTGTTCCCAAGCTTGAACTCTGGGGAAATTAAAATAGGATTTTTAAAGGTAAGACTTTAATATCTAATGTGTGGTTGATAGTGGCTAGAGAGAAATGAAGAACTAACATGCTTTACCAGACTTTTCTCCATGTCAAAGCTAGTTGTTAAACAGCCTCAGTTCTTTTGTTGAGAGTGATAATCATGTTTGAAGTTGTAGTGGTCCACAGGCTGTCTGTGGTGTACCTAGGTTCCCTGTGGTTGTATGTAGTTGTATGTGGATATATATACTCAGGTTACCTGTGGTTGTATATATTGTTGTAAATAGGTTGTATGTGGTTGTGTGTAGTTTGTATGTGGTTGTATATACTTTGCGTAAGGGTCATGTATGGATTGTATAGGTTTTATGGAAGTTGTATATAGGTAGTTGCTCATTTCCATCTTCTCTGATCCACCAGATTTCTCTGAGCCTCATTTTACTTCCAAGTGTTTTTGTTTTTCCTGTTCTTTTCTTTTCCCTCTCCAAAGCCACACTGATGTAAGCATCCATAGTTTTCCTTTTCTATGTTGTTCTCCATCCATTTGGATCCATCTTCTTGCCACTCTCCTATCCTTCATGCCAGGGGTTGGGAGTTTATAAGTCAGCGCTTTCGCAGGTCCCGTCACTGATGTCCATAAGCTGTCCCTTCTCAGCTCTCCTGACCAGTCCCTGCCTGTGTTACCTTCCTGGCTGAATTCTGCAGTGGTCTGTGAGCCACCCTGACCTCACTCTTCCTGGGTCTGTGCTTTCACCTGTCAGCACCTCAGCCAGCCACCTTCTACATTTCCTCCTTTCCTGTTTCCCCTCCCATCCCTCTCTCCCTTTCTCCGATCCTTGCTTCTTTCTTTCCTCTAATGTTTAAGTGATTGTCTCTATATATTGTATTTTTTTCTTTCTAATAAAAATAATCCTTAAATGTGGTTCAACAGTAATATCTTTATAAAGCATTTTGTAGAAATAAACTCGCAGAAGTCCTTTGGTAGAAATATTTCTGCATGCCGATCCTTGTCCATAGCTCCTGGACAAGTGGGACAGTCACTTTACTCCTCATTGAAGACTACTAGAAATAAAATGAAAATAGATTTAATTTGTGGTAGGGACTTCCTATGTTACCAATTTCATAGGCTAATAAATTGTCAAGAAAAAATAAAACATGGTCATCACAGTGACATCCCAGTGGCGTTAGTAAATGCCATCAGGCTAACAGACGTACAAACACACCTCTCTCATTTCATTTCAATAGAAGTATGTTTTGCAGAACAAACCAGAACGGCTTCACATACATTTTTAGGGATGGTGTTTTGTGTATGAACATGGACTTTTTTGTATGGCAAGGGAATAGTTTTAAACATAGGAACACACGGACCTAAGAGGACTTCCTTCTTGTTCTGGGAGTCATCAACAGCAATATTAGTAATACTAGTAGATCATATATTACAAACAAACCAAAAAAAAAAAAAAGAGTCATTCTTTTTCTTGTTGACTCTGGCGTTCATGGTTAGCTGCTGTCTCTGTGGTTCTGGATGCAATGATTCACAGGTCTGGTTCTGGCTTCTAAACTAAGGATGCTCCCGCCTTTGGGGTTCCCTGTCCCAGAGCGCACATTATCTTCTCATGAAAGGAAGAGCCCAAATCTGAGTTATTCAGCTGCTTCCCATGATTTAAAAAAGAGAACGAAAGTTTTATTTCTGTCTAACTAGATGCCAAGTAAGAGGAAGATAATTTTTGCAGGTTATCTGAAAAGAAATCATTTATAAATGAAAAGGAGAAGATACTCATCTGGTGAATATACTGGAGATCTCTCAGGTTCCTTTTTGTTGTGTTGAAAATAAGATGTCGATAACTTGCTTTTCCTGCCTCTGTCTCTCTGGACTTGACTTCTAGTTGGCAGATGTTACAGATTTTACTTTCCTGGTGGTTTTCCTTTGGTTATCTGTCTTCAGCCTCGTGCGTGTATGGCCTGAGATTGCTTATTGGAGCCTGGAATGGGCTGTGTTTCTGTAACCTCAGGGCCTTCTGCTGCCCCCTAGATCATGGTCTCATCACCCACTCCTCCCTTGTACCCTCTGTAGTTCCCGCTACGCAGTCACTCCTTTCTCCATACTTTTGCTCACATTCTCCTACATTTTCATTTTTTCCCCGCTCTTTCTCTTGTTTGTTACCCCTAAAGGCAGGGTCTTACTGTGTTGCCCAGGCTAGTCTCAAACTTGTGATCCTCCTGCCTCCATTTTCTGAGTAGTTAGGACAATGGGCACACACCCCACCATGCCTGGCTTTCTGACATTTTGTTTTTGTGGGAAGTATTCCTATATTCCTGATCCCTTTCTCATCCCACTCCTCCCTCCTGTCCTTTCCCAGATCCCATTTGTATTTCTGAGCCACTGTCTTTTTATATGCCACACACATCCCTTAACGTGCCCTTTTCTTAGCTTTTGTACCTCCCGTTACAGTGTAGCCCTCTGACCTGTGTGCCTAATATCAGAAATGTATTCCGATTGATGGATTTTTTTTCTTATGTCACCATACAGTATTTAAATTATGTTAACAACCTTGTGAAATTTTTTGGAAATTAAGACTGTATGAGGCATCATGTCTGATTAACTTTTCTCCAGTAAGTCATCATTCACAGAGAAATGTCTTTGCTTAAGTTTATATAATAATATGATGTGTTTTAGGAAAGAGAAAAATCTAAAGTTCAGTGGTTCCTGACTTAGGATGGTTTGACTTAACCATTTCTTGATTTTACGATGGTGTAAATGTGATATGGATTCAGTGGAAACCATTCTTTGAGTACCCATACAGTCATTCTGTTTTCACTTGCAGTACAGTATTTAATTAATTATGTGATATATTCAACTTCTATTGAGTTTATTAGGACATAATCTCATTGTAAGCTGAGGAGCATCTGTACTAATTTTAATCTTCCCTTTGTAGTTGCATTTAGGAATGCAAATAATTGCTGCTTTTCAGCTGTGCATTATGAAATTTAAAACTTTATCCTCCCCATATTACCTTTTAAAATTCAACATAGTATAACATCTGAATTCTAAGTATTCATCCTTCAGGTATTTGTCAGGGACACCTCCTTCATTTCCTGGCTAGTGTGCTTGGTGGTATTGTATGGCCATATAGAGACCTTGGTCTTATTGATCTCTCTAAAGAAATGTTATATTTGATATTTAAAAAGATATCCTCAGAAGCTTTGATTGTGAGTTTCATTGGACTTGCCTGGGTTGTCTTGTATATTAGCCTCATTTATTATAAATACAGTATCTTATATCTCTCATTCTTTTCCTATCACTGGCTTACGCAATCAAGTCCTTCTCCAGCTCTGTAAGGAGCTTGCAATCTAGGCCTTCAATGCATGTGATGTGTTTGGCTTCTCACACCCAGTGGGGCCTCATCATAGCACTTGTCTTCTTTTTCAGCTTATGACACTGAGAGGTTCTGTCCTGGAAGATGCCATTCCCTCCACAGCGAAGCACTCGACAGCCAGAGGGCTGCCTCTGAAGGAAGTGCTAGAGCACGTGATCCCTGAGCTCAATGTCCAGTGCCTGCGGTTGGCCTTCAACACTCCCAAAGTCACAGAGCAACTCATGAAACTGGATGAACAAGGGGTGAGCTCAGCTTTTGGAGGAAAGCATTCTCGCTGCTCAAGTTTCCTGCTGCACTTCCAGATTTTATTTTATTTTGTGATGGGGAAAATTGACATGATTTATTGTGAAGGATATTCTTTTATTGCAGTTACTCATTTTTCTTGGTAACTCTCTGAATTCCAAACATTTCTAATCTGATGAAATTCTCTATGTTTGAATTGAAAGATAAGGGACTTAAACTGTATCCAACTCTCATTACAGCCTTCCATACATGCAGTCAGTTTTTCAAGTGTCTGGGATCAATAGTAGCAGTAATAATAGTAGAACACAGTAATAACTTTATTGCAGTAATAATTATTACTATAGTAGTAATAATGGCTAGCACTAGCAAGCATTTCACCAGGATCTCTTCTAAGTACCTTAAGTATGTTATCCTATTTAATCTCCTGTTCCTGTGAGAATGGTACTATTATTATCCCCATTATAGAGATAAGGAATCTGGGGCGCAGAGAGATTAAGTAATAAATCCAATTTCACATGGATAATAAGTTGTGGAGCCAGGATTCAGTCAGTCAGTCAATCTGCCTCAAAACCTGTGCTGTAGGCACTGTATCACACAGTTCTTTAAAGCTTAGATGTTTAAAGCCTATTAGTACCACCAAAGGTGTATTTTGGCCAAGATTTTAAAGCATAAAATTTAAAAATTAGGGTCTTAATCAGTAACAAAATCAAAATACTCAAGATTTTCTCTCTCCTTTGTTCCTATACCTAAATGTGGGGGCCCTTTGGTGAAGAACAAAAGTGTGATAGGATGATCTCTATAGAGGTAGCAGAAGGGAAGAAAATGAAAAGTTAAGATCTGAAAGATTCACCAATCAGTAGAGTGTTACCCACATTCTACTTGGAGTAATCGAACAGATGGGCTAATTTTGTAGATATTTTTATATTTTCGTCTCTTAACTCTTTCTCTCAGAATTTTAGCCATATTATATCTTAGCAGTGGGAGGTAGTTGTTTTACCAATGCAGCCAAAAGATTCCTCCAGAAGTAAAATTGGTCCAGGTATTGCATCTCATTTTGAGAACAAATTTCATGGTATTTCCTTAGTCAAAAAAATCCCAATTTGATGTTTTATTTTAATTTTCAGAGGATGCTTGCATTCGCAGGAAAGAGAGGGAAAGTGAGAAAGCAGTCTCCGTGGGGGATGGCCATACACTATCTGTCCTCCATTTCTCCTTTTGGGATTTGGGGCAAGCACACACATGCACCAGTATGTTTCTCAAGCTGCTTGGTTGGGGACTCGAACCACTTACTTGGCGATATGGAATCCAGCCACCTTAACCACTAACTGGCCCTCAATTTTATTAAAATGAATGAGACTCAAAAATGTGAATTTTTAGTTATGTTTCTTAATTCAGCAAATGAGAATATATAATGAGCCAATAATTTAATGTAACTTTTTAATAATTTTTAAAAATTTTTGCTTTTCATAATGCTCACCAAGGTATATTGTATATGTATATTCCAAGAATACTGTGAGCAGTATCCATGTTTATAACATGTAAATTTGAAGCAACTTTTGAAAGCTTTAGAAGACTAGTGATGCATACATTTAATTATCTGAGGTTGTTTTCCAGTAAATATTCTGGACTTACATTCTAGTAGAGAAGAATTAGAAAAATGATAATTAGGTTTTAACTTTATTGATTCAGTCATTTCAATTACTATGCTTACCAAGGAGAATTAAAAACATTTAGGCATATACTTAACGTTCTAAATTTACAATAGTACATTATTTTTCATAAAGCGGGTATATATTGCTGTTTTCTTTTAACCATATTAAATAAAAAATGGACACCTTAGGGCCAGCAGGTGGTGTGGTGGTTAAGGCGCTAGATTCCCATACAACTGACTGTGATTTGAGTCCAGGACCCAGTGGCTTGAAAATCTCACTGAGCATGTTTGTATGTGTGTCTCCAGAGTCTTGAGAGGAGAATGGAGGAGAAGAGATGGAGACATGGCTATCTCCCTTGGAATTTCTGGCATATTTCATGCTGTTAGTGACTACAGAATATTGGACCACAGGTGGTGCTGGCCTGTGATGAACACTATATGGCTCATGCACACAGCAAAGACAGGGCACTATAATGAACCTAACTCAAAGTTGAACTTACTTAATTCACAAAACTGGCCATTATTCTGAAGTTATGGCCTTCCTATTCTTGGGGGTATTAAAATATCCCATCCTTCATAAATTGTTAATGATAACATGCAATAGTAGTTTTCTTTAATGCCTTCTGGGCAGAATTTAAGTGTGGCAATCAGAGAGAATCTCTCCAATTTGATTTTGGAAATTAATGTCTTAGATATGCAATCCTGTTTAATAGGGGTTTTACTACTTTATTAGGGAGTAGTATTTATTTGGCAGTAGAATCTAGAAGTTTAAAGAATAATATTCTATATAAGCAGCCTTGTCACCAAACGAGAGATTGCCTGGTCTCTGAATTGGTGTTTGGTCGCTGTCTTGTCTTCTCTGTCTCTATACATAACACTCAAAGCCAGGATTGTACTGATATAGAACAGGTCATACGCATGCATAGGTTTTTTTAGTCTGGAGAGTCATTGTAGGAAATCATATTAATGTCTTGAGATCATTTTGAGAAAATGGTTATTTTCGTGCCTTTACAAATACAGGTTTTAAAAAGAAAATGCTTACAAGAGCAGTGGATTACATATATGAATCATTGCAAAACACTTTAAGTTTCCATCTGTGTTGCCATTTTTTCAATTTCAAGCTTTTTATATCCTTATATTTAAAGAGATTCATAGTGTGATACCAGGAAGTCAGATTTACTAAAAGGTACTTTTAAATCTCCCTTTAAATTTTATTTAAGCAATTCCTTTAATATCTCTTCTACTCTTAATAATTATGCTTGGAAAAAGAAAGCCCAATTTGTTTGCAATACTGTGTCATTTTGCCTTTCAAATCTTTGGTTCTTTATTTCCTCACTTATCACTTACTAAAAACTAAAGTGAACAGAACAAATTAAAATTTTATCTGTAAAATATAAACAAAACCATTGCCCAAGAATCTAATAATACATTTTTCATTTGACTTAATAATGATACGTTTGTGAGAGCTGAGGTAGACATTTATAATTACTAAGGAAATTCATTTTAGAAAATGAGTATCTGATTTGTGGCTTATCCAAGCTTTCATTCTTCTTCCTGATATCTTCCTGGGCCTTTTACTATTTATCGTTGCCCATTTCCATTACATAAATGACCATGAGGAGATAAAGCTAATCTGGCAATGTTTGCACACTGGCAAGAATTTAGACTGCTTTGTACCTCAGGAAATTTGGATCAACTTTGGATTTAGTTTACCTGTCATGTTCCTAAATCTGCATTTATAAGATTATTGAGAGCATCTCTCATGAGAAGAACAACTTAGGTAGATAGTGTGATTCATTATTACTATGTCTTAATCACCCTACTGTGTGATATAATAGATTCCAGTTATTAACCTAGTTTACATTTCAAGGAATTGAGCCCTACAAAAGTTCTCAGTGTCATCATTCTTCTCTCTCTTCCGTTAGTACTTTTGATCACTGGAAACATAATAGTTGCACAATATTGCATAATACTGCCTTTCACTTTTAAGATTTTCAGGTTTTGCTATACTTTTGCATATCTTGAATTATTCTGATCCTTAAAACTATGGTGTGAGATATTAGGAATTTTATTATCTATTGAAATCAACTTGTTAATAATAGGGCCAATTCAGTTACTTTTAAATTTACCATATCAGAGCCATTTTCAACAGGCATTTAAAAAAACACTATGCAAAGAGAATGAAATATGATCATGCCAAGCCCTGTTTGAAGGAGCTCACACATAAAAGCACCTAGTACGATGCTGGGCCCATGGTAAACAGTTAAGAAATTTTAGCTGTGGTTTATAATAACTAATTAGTGACCATTTACATGTATCATCTCATTTAATCTTTATAAACCTCCTATGAGAGCACTCCTATTATAGGTAATATGCTTGCTTTCATAAGTAAACATAACTGTTTCAAATTCAGTAAAAGCTTTTTGATTATGCGTCTCTGCAGATTGTTAAATACTATAATGAATAGTAGGCTAGTAAGTCACAGTCCTTATCCATGAAGGAGACAGGGTCATAAATTACTGCAGTGGACATCAGGGTTCATGTAATGAGTATAACAAGAAAACTGAAACACATAGCAATGCGGTGCAAGCCAATAGAGACAGGTCGTGATTGGTTAACTGGATCAGAAAAGAGGGTTTCATCTGGCTGGAGAATAAGCAGGAGGGTGGCCCAGACTCAGAACCGTAAGAACAAATCAGAGGGATTAAAGCAGAGTGTGTTCATGGGCCAGTAAGCATTCCAGCTGAGCAGGAGTGTGAGGCACTGTAAGACAGTAATAAAAGTAGATCATTTTTATTGCACAGTGACTAACCTGAAGCAATTTACATGCATTATTTTAATTAATCCTTAGAATCCTTTGATGTTGGTGCTATTATTGTTCCTATTGTATAGACAAGAGCATTGGAGCACAAAGAGGCTGATCACAATTAAGATCTGAGAAGGCTGGTCTTGAATCTAGAGCATGCATTCTGAACCATTGCTTTATACACCTTGGTCTTCCTTCCCCTCCCCGTAGATGGGGAAAGAAACAGGAAAGATGATTCCAAGTCTCACTGCTGCAGACTTGGTGCCCAGTATTAAAATGTAACTTGTTAAACCCAAGTAAGATGGAATAGGGCTGTTTTATAGACATATGAAGTATAATTGCCAGTTTGCAGTAGAGAACATTGGTAGTCCTGTTTCCATTAAGAAGTGTCGGTTTTGGGACCAGCGGATGGTGTAATAGCTATGTTGCTGGACTCCCATGTAGTCGACCGCGGTTTGAGTCCTGGACCTTGTGGCTTAAAATTCGCTCCAGGCATGTGTGCATGCATTCCCAAAATCCTGAGAGGAGAATGGAGGAGAAGG